CAGCCCATGGTGAGGCAGCTGTGCCTCTGCAGCCCACGGAGGAGCCCACATCAGAGCAGGTGAAAGCCTTTTCAAACTGGATTCTGAATCCACTCAGCTGACAAACAGCAGGAAGAGTAGCCATTCTCGCTGGTTCAAGACTTCCAAAAGATCTTTTCTTCCCAGTCAGAGGACTGGTGACAGTGTGCTTTCTTTCCATCAAACTGTATGCCCACATAAGGATTCAGCTATTTCTCAGGCTGTGGCTGAGTAACAGGCAGGGAAGGGGGAAAAGCACCCAGAACTGTCAATGCTATTTTTAAAGACCAATAAAACAAACTTTTTCATCCTCTCCATTAAAAAAGTCTTATTAATTCACAGATGGGCAATATCACCAAACAACAAATTTACTGAGGGGAGGGGAAACTGAGTAGATTGCAAGTGTAGATTTTTCAAATTCTATAACAATTCAAAGTGCACAGAATTCCAAGACACCTGTATAAATATCCCTCTTCTCATACACTGCCATCTCAAAGACCTCCTCTGCACAGGCAGACCCCTTGATCTAAATTTTACTTTCATTCCACTGAAAGCCTACGACTGGACTGTTTCTGTGAACTATTTCATATGCTTTACCTGACAATTGAAACAAATAATTCCTTTTCAAACACCAGCAGCTTGAAGAAACATGTTTGAATGAGAACAGGAATTTCAGATCTCAGAACAACAAAAAGTGTTTGAGGCATGGTCAGGTGTAGCCATTTGAGAACCCTTCTGCAGATCTTCACTGTGGAAATTCTCCTATCCATGGGACTACTGACCCCTCTAGCATCACTAACAGATTCAAATTTTCTGTAGCTAACTGCAAACATTTAAAATCTGTGCACAAGATGCCATGTCTATATCAAAACCCTGGCAGAAAAACCTCCTCACTACCGTAAGCAAGCCACAGCTTCTAGGAAATTCATATTAAAAATCATGACTATGAGACTTCTGTTTTCTTCAAAAGTTATGTATCTATACCACACACAAACGCAGGAATATGCATAATTTTTTCCCCATGCAATTAGTGTATTTGATCATCCACATCCAGATTATTCTTTTTTTAATACATGCTAAACAACACCTTTTATTAGTAAATACAACTCAAGTGTTACTACTTTTTGGCATATAGCTGCCTCACCTGCCTTTTTTGTTTCTTTTTCAAGCCATTCCACTGTGAAATCAGCATGTTCTTACTCTGCTTACTAAGTTTCTAAGCAACTTCTGCTTAGTTCTAACTATAACTAGCAAACTCACCAACAGCCTAAGACATGGTGCACACACCTAAGCTTTGTGCACTTGCATACAGTAGTTGAACCAGTGGTTTACATCTGTTCTTCCCTATACATATAAAGCACACCATTTCAATATCTGGATTATGTTATAGAAATAGCTACTGTTATTATCACATCAAGTCAGTTAGTGATAAAGCAGATGGAAGAAAAAAAACAACCCTTTTTTATATTAACCTGTGCTGTTAAGAAGTTATCTTTCATTCTGAGTATTAACAGATTTCTCTTTTTTTCCAAAAGTGGCAAAATATTTAAATTAACTGTCATATGACTAACCAGTTAATTAAAATTTACTTCCCAATTACTTTTCATCATAGGTACTTGAGCAAAGTAACAGAACTTAATACTTTAGTTTAACAGATTCAAATTATTACTCAAGATCCTGCAATTCCTGTACTGTGCTGTAAACCCAAAACATACATATTTTAAGGACATGATAAAAGTATTCCTTCTTTACCTAGACTTGGCTATGGTACACAGGTAATTCTTTTCACAGACAGTACATATCTGTTTTAGAAATAAGAAAATCAGCAAGTTTCTATTACTTCTAATGCTTTTATAAACATTAAAGATATTATAAAAAGACCCTTTATCTAAATCAATCTTAGATTTTTGGCAAGTTCACAAGTAGCTGTTTATTATTTTAAAATGCATTGATTTTAATGAAATTCTGTATTAACTACAACACTTTACAAACAGTTCACCTAACATTTCATGAAACTTCTTGTGACATCATAACCTTGGAACCTCTGGAGAAGGACATTCTTGACTTTTAAATCTAGCTCAGAGGAACCTACTCCGTAACAGACTACTTAAAACTGCTTCAAAACAGCACCATTTAAAAAGGAACCTTTACCTGTTTGGTTTTACCTCAAGGAAAAAAAAAGGGAATGAAAAAAGGAAAGAAAACAATAATAATCTATGTATTAATGTGTAGTAGAAAACCACATTTTACCATTCTTAATCTAAACAATAAATTAAAAAAAAATAAGTAAAAAAGGAAATCTTGTATGTTTCCAATTACACATTCATATTACAAAAATCTGGTTGCAAAACACATTCCTATCAACAGAAACATCTTCAGACTGTACTGTGAATGCACTCCCTGTACACTTTTCTCACCATAAGATCTTAAATTAGTTCTCTATCCTACCCCATAAATTTCCCATCCTCAGATACGGAAATAAGACACAAAATTTAGCCTCCTCTTACTACACAGGAACTTTTCTAGATTTCTTTGAAATTTGTTGCCCGTTACACTTTCAGCAGGAGCTCCTGAGCCAAATGGAGCCAACACAAAAATGAAGGGATTCTCAGACAGTTTATCTGACCTTCCTGAGCCTGACAGTTTTGGCCTAGCAATAGGGAAGGTTCTTGGTTTATGCAGTCTGAGAGCAGGATGGTCACACTATTGGAACAACGTTGGGTAAGTCAGGGTAAATGGAAGAAAGGAAAGCCTGTTAGGAGGACACCAAAGTGCCAGCAAAATGTGTGACAGCACACTGCAGAACAGAGCAGCTCCAGAGTGGAACCACTGGCACTTCCTGTTTTGATCAAATGATTCACAACATGGACTTCTGGTTACTCCACTCCTGGAAAATGCTTTGAGCCCACTGACCTGCATTTCCCATTTGTGGTTTGAGCCTGAAGTGGCTCAGCCTGTTTGTTATGGAATTAACTCCTAGCAAATAGTTTGCCACCAAGGAAATTCAATAGCAGCTAACTCAACCTTACCCAATAATTGTTTCCTAACTGAACAGAGATCTTAGGCAGTCTTGATGATTAATAAGAAAATCATTGCAGGAACACCTTCCTGTCACTGGCACCCTTCATTCTGAAACACCTGGCACATGTTCCTGGCTAATGAACAAGCTCCATCACATGAGAAAAGATGGTTCTACCACCACTGGCTGGGGAGGAGACAAAGATGACAACTCTATGGACACTAGAAGCTGAAAAGTAGGAAGTTATTCCTAAATCGCCAACTAATGTTATTGGTTCAGCAGTTGTACATTAGAGGTCTTTAATCTCTTCTAATTCACGCCTTGCTGCAGGCAAGTCAAACTAAGGGAGTATTTTACATTTTAATGGGTGGTGGTGGGAAGTCATCCAAGTCCAGTTTTCAACATCCCAAAGAAAACAAAGTAATCATATGACCAAAGCGACAACACTACACAGGACACCAGTTCCTGAAGGGAATTAAGCATACACAGCCCTCCTGATCAAGTATAATATACTAGTCTGAATTTCTCCAGTTGCACTGCACTAGAATTGCTTGCACAAACTCAGAGGTGCACCTGAAAGACAGACCTATTTACACTACTATGTAAGATGTAAGAACATTTTACGCTGTCTCAAAAAAAATAGAGTAGAATTAGCAAAAGAACAATAAAGGGCTGTATTCCAGAGATTCCCTATTAAAGAAAGATAAAATAAACCATCTTGAGAACTATCAGAGAAACAGATGATACCCTTCATCAAACCTTTACATGGATGAGACAACCAAAGAGATTTATGAGACAACCAAAGAGATTTAATCTCGATTTGTCTCTGTAAACCAACTAGGAACTAACAAAAAAATTATCAAGCAGCAGTTTTAGATGCAAACAGGACACCTTTTGTATATAACAAATATTTAAAACTAAAACACTCACTTTCACTGGTTTATGTGGGTGTCCAAAGTCATAAATGGGCTTAAAGATATACCTAAAGCAGGTCAGGCTATGAAATACAATACTGCTGATCTCTCACTCAGGAAGAACATAAAGTGTCTGATCAACACCTGGGATGATGGACTCTGTTCACATCTGGTGTTTACAGCATTTTCCTCTTTTGGCCTTGATGATGTTATTTTTTGTCTTTTGTCTTTGCCCCCTTGCTACTGAAATTCAAGTATAAAAGGTATGAAAACAAGAGGCAGTGCATAGGAGCAGAAATTATTAGCAAGAGGACTTGCTTTAATTTGGTTCTGATAAGCTCCTTCTTCTTGCCATTTGTGTGTTTGTGGACTTACAAGCCCATAATCCCTAGTAAAAAGACAACCAACTATGTCAAGATAGGGAAATTCCATGGTGGGAGTGGTGTTGCCACTCTATTTTTTTGCCAGATCAGCTATTTACATACAGAGAAAGCATAAAACAACCTCCCTCCCTCATCTCTTGCTAATACTACTACTCTTTAAAAGGACAATGAACTGGAAGGCCAAATAAGTAACTTGAGGTGGTTGGGTGGGTGTGTTTTGTGTTTCCCTTTTTAAAATACCAATGCATCCAGAGTTTTCAACCCAACTGCATATACTCATGCCCTGCCCCTTGACACTGTGAAGCCTCTGTCCAGTCATATCAGGAAAATAATAAAGTAAAATAAACTAATAATCAATTAAAGTTTTAGTAACATTGATCACCAGACAGATTGTACCAAATAAAATTTGTCTGATACTGTAACTTTTTTTCCATGTGTCTCTGTACAACAGATGTCTCCACAGTTGATGCTGATTAGTCTTTATTCATAACTGAAAGGTGGACAGAGATTAGATCAAACAGCTGTTTCAATATGGTATTAAAGACCACCACTAGCATCCAAAAACGTGGCTCAGAGTTTTTTTATAAGAAAGATATGGTGGCTGCTTATCATGTGCTTTTTATCCCTGAAATTCTTGAAATAAAATTTTGCATGTGTTAACCTTACCTCAGAATTAGGAAACTGAATGAAACTGTATTGTACTTCAAGCTTCCTCCAGACTGTTTTCATCTGTACTTCCACTTCATCAGTTCAAAGGTGATATTATGGAAATGCATATTTCTATTGATCTGCAAAACACAAAGAGATTTTGATTAGAGAGATATCTGAAGAAATTGTGTTGACAGTTTATGGTGTATAATGTGAGCTGCACATTGCAGATACTCATATCTGGAATTACAGACACCTCCTGCTATTATGAGCTGCTCCCAGCTAGACAAAAACTTCTTAAGACCCATGCATTTCCAAAAGCTGCACAGTTGCAGTATATTTGTAAAATAGTGACAAGAAAAACAATTTAAAAATAATTTTATTTATACTATATAATTAATCACCCATCTATTTATAAGATTCTAACAAAAACATTTCTAGCCTTTAGATTAAATACACATTTGTCTTGGATGAACGGTGATGTCAGGGAGGAAGGGTGCTAAAAATCTCTGTAGAGAGTTTTCCTATGAAAATAAGCCTTTCTAGTCTCCCCTAATAATTCTTGGGCTCATGTGGTCTATACCAGCCAGATTTGCAAGATATCAGGTTTCCATTTTTTATTTTTTCTTTTAAAAAGTCAGTGACTAGAGAAAGGACATATTGTCAGTGACACCAACAGAAAAAACAAACAGTGCTCAAGTCAATCTTTACCAAACACCAGAGAGTCTGTAGGACTGCAGCTCCACACCACAAATCCACTGGTGTCACCCCCTTAGTTCCAGTACACAACAAACTGCAATATACTGAGAAGCAATCAAGAGGTTTACTGCAGTTGCACACAGATACAATTACTCCTGGGAAGAAAAAAGCAAAGATCTGGACAAAGCTGGCAATAAGGTGGGTTTGATTTTTCATTTGTGTTTTTGAACGGGTGTACATCCAAGCATCAGAGGAAAGCACGACACAGGCTCTTACCCAGCACTCTCAACAACTGTGAGCCTTGCCTGCCTTGTGTCCAGTCCCAAGGCTTTCAGATGGACTGGGGAGAGCTAAGAGGGGCTTATCAGCTTTGTTAGTTTGATTCCATGATGAGCAGATGCCACCTATTGTCAACCATTCCCATTTTATCACTGTCACAATTTTTAAATGTCTCCATCATCCGAAGCTTTCAAGAAGATCCTACAAGAAGTTTATCATTTAGAAGTCCCAGTGTTATGACTGTGATCTTAACCCTGAAAATAACACAAAGGCCAAAACACCACTAATCTGGCTATACTGTTAAAAAACACACAATCAATCTTACAGTGTAGAGATGTAATGACTTAGTTTTGAATACCAAAGCCAACAGTATGGGTACAGATGGACAAATCACGTGCCTGCATGATTTCCAGCAGAGGGAGAGTTTCAGCATCCACTCTCCTCCTCTCTTCCTTTCTAAGCAGCATAAAGACCTTTACCATTACAAGAAGGTCAGAATACTTCTGTCTCCATGTCCATTTATAAGCACAGTTCCTCACACACTGAGGTTTAATAGTCTTGGTAATAAATAATAAATTTGTGCTCAATGGTAATCTGAAACCACCCTGAGTATCAGATAGCACCAATTCTTAAACACAACTGTCTCCTCTGAGCAGACAGGCTGACACTTGACTTATTTCTTCCAGGGTAAAACTGGAAAAACATTCTGGTCATGAAATATTGTTTGCGGAAATTGTCTTCCCTTTTTTAAAGTAAGTAAAGAATCTGTAAAATATATCCATCTCTTCTCCTCTCTCTAACCTAGGAATCTTCTGCTGGACTCCAAAAGAATGACAGAAAAAACGTTGGTGTGCTTTCTGTTTTTACACCTCCGATCTCCCTGTATCCAGTATCTGATTTATACAAAGTACACTTTGTATTATTTAAAAAGGCTGCTTTACAAAGTAAAGACATTTCTGAACGCTGCTGCTCAGGTTTGTTTTGTTTTTAAAACCACGTCCTCCTAATAGTTTTCCAAACTCTCAAACTGATGAAGTAACTGTTCTCAACTCTGTAAGCATTCCCTGCCTCTCCTGACCCCAATCCCATGTATCAGATATCCAAGCTCTCTTACCAAACAAAACTATTTTGGTGAACTTCCTCATCTGCATGACTCTAGGTATGTCTACATTAGCATTTAATTCAAATCAGGACTGCACTTTTGAAGTCCATCTCCCAAACAGCCCTACTTTCCTTGCTTTGCTTTACATTGCAAAGCAGCCATCAAGTAAATGAACCAGATTTCTGTTGAATAAAATCAGATCACAGAATGAGCTTCAGGTGTACATTGTACACGCTCCAACCACCAACAGGAATTCAGCCACAGAATCGGACCAGGACCAGCCTGAAATAAAACTCTCACCACCTGTACAGTGTGGATGCCAGGTTCTCAGCACCTGACAGACCTGATCCTATTACACCTCACTGCTTGGTAATGTGGACACAGACTCTTTTATGACTTACAGAATTTGTGTGTCAGTTCCAAACTCATCTCTCCCTTTTTTAAAAGGGAAACTACAAAACCTCTGTCAGAAATGGGACAAGAGTTAATGATACTTATTAAATTATGTGAGAGACTTCACTGTGTTACTATTTTTTCCACTTCTTCATCAGCATGAAATGCTATTTGAGAACATACTTAATTTTATAAAAATCAATTTACTTAAATAATTATTTTTATACGGTTATCCAAACTGCTTAATTATTAATGTATAATTTTCAAAATGTTTAATGCCATTCTCGATGGCATTTTCCAGACAAGTGCTATCAAGAACAAAATAAAACAAGTGAATTAATTATTTGCACAACTCTAACTTTATCAGAACTTCATATACTACAACAATGTAAGTGGCACAAACTCAAAAGTAAAGCCTCACAGTGCTTGTCACTAATAACATATTAAATCCACAAATTTATCCACAAATTTTTTTCAGTGCTAAGATTAAATCTGAGATCCTCATATACTATTAACTGAAAAATATCAGTACTCAATCTGGGAAAAGAATACTGTGAATTATATGAATACAGTAGCTACCTAGCTAACTCAGAAAAATGTAGATTTCATGCCACTGGCAGTCCCAGGGAACTGCCCGAATATCTAAATCGGGTTCATTTAAACCTCATTCAGGAGGGAGGGGGTTGGAGGGGTACAGGTGGTCACCCTGCTAGCACAGTGCAGGAACCAACAGCTCTAAGCAGGACAGACAGACAGACAGCAGGGACTTGCAATGGCAAAGCTCCAGTCAGACTGACTCTGAAAAGAAAACTCTACTCAGGCTGTGGGTTCCTTTTTTCTTGTCTTGCCACTTATCTCTAGTTACTACTTCCCTTCTCAGTAGTTCCAGTTTCTTCAGTTCCAGGGCCACATTCAACTCATTCCTTCACCTGTCTCTTCTTTTGATGCCAAAAACTTTCCAGGCACTTGACTTGCTGTTCCTCTGATTCATTCCCACTTTGTCCCAGCTGCCTCACCAGTTTTCAGCTGAATGACTTTATTCATCTTAAATTATCTCTTTCTCACAAAGGACCGTGCTACCTGTCAAATACAGCATGTATTGAAGGAACATAAGTTTGGAAAGTAACTTAATCAAAGTAACATAACAGTTAAAGTGATTCAACAGCAATTAAGTATCTGCTCATACAAGGACTCATCTGCACAGATCAAGGATTAAATACTTGACCATTCACTCCAGCTTCCAGTTACTTCTTTCCTGCTCTTTCACCTCCTCCAGCCATCAGCATGTCACTCCTGCAGGGTAGCTGTTCAGCTAATCATACCTTTACTTCAATTTATGAAACAGAACTTGTTTTAAAGGTTCTGTAAGTTCAGATCATGGCACAGACATGGCCTAGGGTGATATGAGACAAAAAGTTAAATAAAAAATAAAAACCCCAGGGGCAATAACCTTCAGCATCTGAGACTTGGGGTGGGAGCAAAGAGGAAAAGGAGAAAAGCATGTGGTGCTCTCAACATGTCTCTGTGTGCAGTGTCAGAGTTGGAGGCAGCTGAGGGCTCTGTTAACCAGAGATGGGAGAAGTTTCAGGAGCAAAGTTAATCCTTTTCAGGTAAACTATAGTCCTAAACAATAGGCTCCTTGTTAGAAATCTATGCACAATGAAAATACACTGCAGACCCATATGGCAGGCTGGAAGATGCTTCAGTTAACAGTTAACAGCCTCCTGAATGCTACTGGAGAACATAGCCAGAGCTGCTGTAACCCAGGGAGAGTTTGAAAAACTGTGAGTATATTGCTTTTACAGGACTATTACAGCTGTGAAATGTGAAATTTGTAAAGGGAAAGCAGCCATAATCGAATTTCCAAATCCTACTTCAAAGATCATACCCAAAGATAGGAATTCATTAAGGAAACCCTCTTCAACAAATTTGCATGCGAGAAAAACCCCCACAGCACACCGGGAAAAGCAAATGTCACACCACCCAAGCAAATTTGGGGCTGGGTGGAACAGAAGGTATATGAGCAAGAACATCTCATGAACAGAGACCCCTTCCAACCCAGTAAAATAAAATGAACTGGCTGAAGAAGCACATCACTTTCCAGTCTCTGGACACCACGTTTTCCAGGTAGCAAGAGGGGAAATAAGAGCATGAGATATGGTTAAGGAACATTTATCCAATCTTTGAAGCAACAAAATTGTTCAAAATCACTTAAGTAAAAACACACCTACATGAAAGCTAACTTTTAAAATTAATTTTATGCCTGCATTCCCTTGAGTTTTAATAAACAATCATTAAGTTATTCTTGCAAGGTATTAAAAATGCAAAGAATTATATAACATTCAAGCACTGCATGCCATATAATTCTTCACATCAATATTACAGTGGTTTGGCCTTCCTATATATCTAGTCAAAACTCTAAGATTAGTTCAGCATACTACTGATCTTTCCAGCACTTCCAGGTTGTTCTTGGATCCCTGATGGCAAAAAGAATTTTTACTAATTTGTGAGGAAGTTTACAGAACTTCAGAAATACTATCTTGGAATAGTTTGAAGGAAACAAGACATCACATAGAAATAGTACAGACTTAAACATCATTTCAGTAGTGATCTAACCTGGCTGGTTGGTTGTGCAGGCAGGTAGAATAATGAGTGAGTGCTGCTGCC